TGTTCCTCCGACGATTCGAATGTTTGTCACACGAAAGCTTAACAATCCTCTGGCATGATAATTGGCGGTGTGACGGCAGAGTTGCCAGGCCATGTGCTGTACTCGGTGCCCACATTTGCGTTGAGGTCGACTTTGACAAGCATAACGTCATGATGCAGCAAAGCGCTAACAGGTTACTACAAGCAGCTATATAAATTGTCTTTGCAGCTGTCACTTGACACGCATATGTGGCAGTGACTTCAGCATTGGTTGTTTGACAAACATCTCTCCACCTGTTCCATTGAAATGACCAGTTGACTTATCGTGCTTGATTAGAAAATACCCCAACCTGCGGGGCGTATTCTATTGTGGTCAAACCATAAAAATGACCACCCATCCTGCAGATCAGAGATCTTCTTCAGGAGGCAAGCTTCTGTTATCAGCAGTACATGGAGTTTATACCATAGCTGACTAGTAAGTTATGAGCGGGAACGCTTTATGCGCATCATTTTTGCGAAATCAGTGAATTCACCGTTGCTCGCTGAGAAATCAACCTGACAGTCTGAGGCTGGGTCTGTGCGTTTTGACATAGTCTAGAGTTCAGCCATCTGAGAGTGCCTTGGTATACTGCCACTGCTTCTACAAGTTGAGAAGTTCGAAACGCGATGGTTTGGGCGAATCTTCCGAATGCTTCCTGGAAGGAAGTCGAAACTCGCTGCTCTTGACCGAGAATAACCTGAAGCAAATACCTCAACTGACTCTTTTCCAGACTCAGGTTATTTTCCGCCGAAGTTAAGATATTGGCGCATAATCAGCAAAGCATTGAAGACACTGCCTGAGAGTGCTGCAGCCGCAACTGGGCAGGGTTATCAACTATCTGACCGACTCACTGGTTGAGTCAGATATCGGAGGAAGTAGTTTTAAGCACATGAGAAGATTTATAGTTTCCGATGACTCCTGTCTGAACTTATTATAAGAACTTAACATCATCCGTAATGTTTCGTTCTTCTTTAACTATAAGCTGAATAGAATTGGTGCTGTACAGTTATTCTTCGAAACTAGAAATTGGCTTTCCTCTTCAGAATTTTCTGTGCATAATTCTACCTCATATGGCAGTCACTCTCGTGCTTCTATATATCAAAAAAGCCATTAGGTAAACAGCTGCTTAGTTTATTTCGAGATTTCGTTACAGTCATGAATTGCAGATAGTTTTATATGTAAGTTTGATATTTTGGTCGTTGCCAGTAATGCTTTGCAACCCAGTATGCTCTGCGCACTCAGTTGAGATCAGAAAGCGGATTCGATCTCTGGAAATATGTTAATTAACATCTTAAGGCAATGAAGCTATGCATCCAATGATTAGGTTAGAAGATATTCATTCTTGGGTCGTCATTTTAGAAACAGAAAACGTTGTCAGAGCTCATATGAAGCTTAAAATACTGTAAATGGCCCTGAGTAATTGAAGCTAGTCGGTATCCGGTTTGATTTTACCTAATGGTTATCCCCAGCTGCCACTGCCAACAATCAAGGTCAGTGCTGATATTAGCATTGACAACATAAACTAGTCCTTTTATCCTGCATATTCTTTCATTCGTTGTCAGCGTCTTTTTTCATGCTCTTTTCAGTGTTGTTCAGGTCACTGAGAAAATAAACTGTTGGCGTCGTTGCTTTTAAAGCTGTAGATTAAATTACGTTATTAACGTTTTAGCCACCCCGTTAGATGTAGTAAAGATCCGTCTTCAAGCAGGACCTAAACGTTCATCCAAAACTTCTCGCCGCAGCGATGGTAAGCACTGGCGTTACCTTATTTATTTGCTGTGAGTGAACCTGGGGTGAAGCATGAATTGTAATCCTTTGAATTTTCGGCTTTAACGTGTGAAAGAATATTTTTTAACATTCTCTGAACAGCACTCATTCGGAGTCAGTTGAATCGGCCCTTAGACAGGGATAACGTCTCAATCTTTCGGGGGATAGTGTGAGATTGCAGTTGAATATCGACTAGGTCCTTTTAGTGAGACAAAGTAAAATGTTGCTTATGGTGTCCATCGATGTGGTCAGTGGAACAACCATCACAGACACGAAACTTCACAAAGTTTTGCATACTGTGGTACAAGGGATACGGCGATTTCATAACTGTGTGTTTGGGTTTTGAAAATGCTGCTAACTCATTTACAGTTCAGTTCAGTGTAATATTCTTTCTGGCTCATCAAGACCACAACAATTGCCATGGATACAGCTGATGAAAAACAAGAGAATTCGGTATAAGAGAATGTACAAAGAAGCAACAGGAACATTTGACGTGATATGGGCAAAATTAAATATGAAACATGAGTTTTTGGAGAATCAACGCATGTTCATATCTGAGATTCAATAGCAATCTAATGATAAAAGTGGAACCGATCGTTTTTAAGTTTCCGTACGGCAGAAACATGTCTGAATTGGTTTCTGGTTGACTGTAGCATAGAGACCGGCAAGCTGCCGGTGCGTAGTATGTAGGGTGTTTTGGATTGTTTACTATCTTTCGCCAAGTGAAGACGCAGATTCGACCACTTTTCTAGTCATAATATCCACCTCTTTCTTCGGGTCTGGATTTCTTGACAATGCCTACACATGGGCCACTGTTTCTGGATCACGTAAGGAAGTAGACAGCAAAACCTGTCTACAATGTTTGAACATGTCTCAACCGCCGGAGGAACGCGAAGCAGCTTTGTATACTTTTTAAGCTGCGCTTGCAACCTGCTGTCCTCCGAAGCAACGCTGATGTACTTAAATTCTGATTTCTTCCAGATCACTTGGTTATTCACGACTGTTCAATATAGTTCTGAGTTTAAAACCACTTTATTTTTAAATTGGGAGGGAGGGTAGGAGTGGACAAAGCATTCCATCATTCCATCCATTTGAATTAGATAAATTCGGTTTAAATTTGACTGTATTGGCCTAGCTACTGACATTTCGGATATCATTATTCAACCCGGATGTGTCTTGACATGCTGATGATAGCATGGTGACATGACACATGCATGTTGTCATTAAACAAGCATGTTTTAAGAATGCCCTTAAGGAACTGTAAAGGAGTGTAAGATCAGTAGCAGATGCAGGATTGGTCATTGTCTAATTATCATTTAATAAGTCGACTATGACTCTTGTCTGTCCTTCAGTTTGTTTCATTTCCGTTTCTTAATTTGTTTGTTCACTGTGTGATATCTGTTATAGAATTGATACATTTATGACGTTAGGTTTGAAACTAGCCAGGGTTCGTTTACACTGATACTAGTAGTCAGTGAAGTCGCATTGTATTTTCACCTTGGGACGTTTGTGATTTATTGGCGATCTTGTTTAACCAGTGAACGTTAATTTATTTTCTTCATTTCATCACTGGTAACGAAAGGTTGCTTTTTTGTTGAACTTGTTGAAAATATATATTTCTTTGGCGAAACTTTAGAGTGAAAAGTAACCTTAATGGCAGTTTTTCGGCTCAGCAGGTTAGTTGACCCTTGCTTATTGGCAGATGCTGTTTCATCAGTTCAGAATAATGCTTTCTTCATCGTGATCACACGACACTCAGTTTAGTTAGGCCTTGCGCTCGTGCGCCCTTCAGACTTTCAGTCAGGTTTGTAATGCGAACAGCTACAGTATTTTTTTTCTAATAACATTCACTTCGTAGGAATCAGCAAATTTATCAACCTTTTGTGACCGTTGTTGTTTTCCTTGGTTGGTTGTTTTCGTATTCATCGAACGGTATCGAGAATCGAGAATATGCTCCGTCGTGCTTAGTTGTGCATAGGCATCGGTCTCGTACATTACTGTTTGTTGCATGTGATTATCGTTGTGAGCCGCATTCGCATGTGGGGAGTATTTTATCTGTGTGAAGCAACTTCCGTATGTGATACAGTTTCCTTAACGACCGGAAGTCAAAGGTTTTGAGAAACCTATCCGGTAAAGTGCATCTGCAAGCACAACAGAGAGGTAAAGCCGTTCAGGAGTTTGGCCAATTTGAGTATCTCAGTTCCGTCTTCTTCATTGCCCAGCCAGAGTTAAATATGGAGCTCCATAGACTATATCTTTCCACAGAAATTAACCTGTACTTTCCTATACTTTCATGTCAGTGTTGTTGTATGGCATATAGACAGTTGCTGTAATTAAAAGACAAGGGCGATGATTGAATTACATGTAGCAGCGTTGACTTCGTTGCCTAATGAAAACTAAATGGAAGAATTACGTAAGAAATGTCTTCATTCTGCCAGGGTACTAATGACCTTAGCATATGTGGACATTAAAGAAAGTAGGTTGGCCTTGCTGCAGAAACTGATCGAACATAAGCGGTTTACTCCAACCCATGAACTCCTCGTATTGGAACTGAAACATGGCAGAGTAGATCACATGGCCAGTATGCAACATGGATTAAGAAGGCAGAAGTAATTTCTGGGTATAATTGTATTTTAAAGATGCAATAACCATTACCTTATAACGTAGGTGTTTTAAAGTTGCAAGTACAATTGGGCATCGCAATCCAGACGTGTTCTGCGTATGCAGGTGACTCAAGGACTGCGCTGATATGTGTTGCATTTAAGTTTTTAAGTATTTTTCTTGTAGGGCGCCGGTTACTACATCGTAAGCAAACTATCTTCTCGAAACAAGAATCTTTGTCTATTGTGTTCATCGATGTTGTATGCGGGATTCGTAGTCGTTATCAGTGGTGCTTCGATCGCCACATGAAAACCTGGCCTGGTGAATTGAGTAGAAAGTTTCTTGACTGGTTTTGTCAAAGTGTTTTTCTAATCTTCGTATCTGCTGATGAAATTATTCCTTAAAATGTTATGCAGAGTCATTCTTTGCATGGTCTTGCTATGTAATCTCCACGTAGAGCCAGCGTATTTTCACTGGCATTTTCAAACGCTGCTTAAATTACTTTACATTAACGGTTTGTATTTCGCATAACAACAGTAATCTGACTGAAGCAAGGTAAAACTTGATCGGTGTATAAGATGATATTTCTTTGTCGCCAACGTGTTGGAAAGATAATGAATGCGTGGGAAATATGTTGGGTCTTCCTGCCCATTTTGTCTTTACTGGCCGATGCCTTTGACGGAAATGTTCGATTTGAGAAGTTAAACTTATTCATTTATTCTGTTTTGTCACCCTTCAATTGTAGTGCTGGATTGGTTTAGTCTGACGGTGAATTTTTCATCACTGTTAACTTGCTGAGGTTTGGCACTAAACCGACTTTACAACTTTTTGCTGTTGACGTAAGGTGTATAGTTTATAAACGATACCGTGATATGAAGTGCCTGGCTGACGTTCGACATTTTAGTGACGCCGTTCGATGTGGTTAAAGTGCGGTTGCAGATGCAGAACCACGTCATATTACCGGGACGCTGTTTTATCTACAACAACGGCTTGATGGAACATATTTGCACGTGTACTGTGCGTGAGCATGTCGGTATCCCTCGGTTCCAGGTGTACAAACCGGGTCATTTTTCAGGAACACTTGTGCGATGACAAAATCAATTATTACATCATACAAGTTATATTAAGTTTGTTTTAGGACGCGTTTGTGAAAATAACCCGAAACGAAGGAGTGTTTTCATTGTGGAGAGGTTTACCTCCTACGCTGTAAGTTATTATGCGCCAGAGTATATATGTAATTCATTCTTTTGTGCATTTTTTTGCCTAGGTAGTACTCAATGTCTATTGTAGATGCTCAACTGTTGCATAACAGCAAACAAAAATTGCATAAATAGCAAAATATAAACCCTTTTATTATGGGTTTGCCGTCAGATTGCTGGCTTTCATTATCCTTTCGTTCCTTTTGATTTACACGGCGTAGCGTGCCAACCTCTTTCTTCTAGTAGCCTACGGGACGGTTTAAGCAGGCCTTTGCTTCATGGTATTTTAGCATCTGTAGTGCATGGGCGCAAAACAAATACAGTTTGTTGAGTCGAACAAAAATATACCGTGGAGCCGTGACCTGCTTAAACGGTCCCCTAGGCTATTGGAAGCAAGGGTATGGTGTGCTGCTCCGTGTAAATTCGGAGGATTGACAAGGGAATGTTAAAACTAGCATAATGCCTCGTTTTACTATACAGACGCATTTGCGTTTTTGGACGATAGACCATTACAAACGTTTTGATTTCTATCGTACTGCCTGTTTTACTGGGTGACTGAATCTTGTTTTTCTCATTTACTGATCATATGTTAAACATCTAACTGTATGGCGAGTTTAGTGTTTTCATGCCGCTACCGTAGTAGTTTCTCGGTAAATTTTTTAAGATACCGCTCCAGGACTACCCTGAGTTCTATATTAATAAACGCGAGGTAAAAATTAACGTTAGAGAACCTCTAGTTGTGATTGTAGGAGGAAAATACTCATGCACTGGCTGAACTCTCTGTTGTGAAATTACACAGTTATACGCGGTATTGGAATTCTGATCGGCCGCTTGCCGTTCATTTTTCTAACGTAGGTAAACGAGTACTGCCGCCTCGTGGGAAGAACCGCGGGTCAAAGCAGCTTACTACAGGCTG